TAGCGCGCTACTTGCGCCAATTTTCTAGCTATTCAAACACAACGATGTGCCAGCGTGCACGCGCACGGCTTAACGGCTTCTGTACGCACACCACTTTCCATAATCCACACCTTAACAACTTGGCGCTTATATACTTCCAAGTAGCTCATTCGCTCAAGCTTCTGTATCAATCAACGTCGCTTGCGACTTGTCCTTTTCATTGTCCGCAACAACGTTATAATTAAAAATAAAACACACACACACACACACACGCGTTTAGCGAGAAAGATAGAGACGCGCGATAAAAATAATGGATTACAACACGATAGAACGTTGATGACCGAAAAGTGTGTAGTGAGTGCGTTTTTCTCATCGCCGATTATAATTTCCGGGAAACGTGAATTTTGTAACTATGTTTATAATTAACCTCTTATTCGTTCGCGAGTATAAGCTTGATGCGATGTATCGCGCAGAAGGAATACTTATGACTGGAAGAGCTTTCTTTCTCGAGCCACGAGCCATCGTATCGACTGCGAGCTGTCAAGCATGTACGTAACTTGCTCAACATTGTTTTCACGATTATTAATGCTGCTGTTGAGTAATTATGTAGCAAGCAATTATAGGGAGGACGATAAATTAAGACGAAGAAAGAAAGGATCTATCCAGCTGGAGCTCAACGAAAAAAGCTCCAACTTCTGTATGCATGCTCAACAATGCTCGCGAGAGAAAAAAATCAAGAATCGCAGCAATCTCCAAGTCGTGCATGGTCATTTTTTCGGACACGCGCGAATAAATGTTCCCACAGCGCTGCGCTTACGTTGTAGCGCGATCGATTGAAGCTGCAGCAGCCGCGCTCATACACACGTTCGCCGTCGTTGCGAAAGTAAGCGCGCACAGGTATATGCACTTTAATTGAGAGCGGAAGAAAGAAGAAATGCTGCTCCAGGCCAAACTGCTACGGACTCTATATTTACACTGTTATTCTTTTCTTTTTTTTTTATCGACTACTACTTTAATACATTCAAATTTCATACCGTGAAAGCGAGACTAGCTAATTTGAATTTTCGGAAAGGCAATTTTGATATTTATGGCTGCCCATATTAAAATTTCAATGAAAATCTGAAAAGTTTAATATATGGTAAAGTTTCCTTTGTTCCACTTTTTGTCTATAGTATTATTAGGTTTGGGTAACCGCAATTTTTCCATCAGAATAAAAGTTCAAATTTATTGGTTTTGCAGCTGTTAATACGATTCTTCAGTTTTGGCTTTCTAAAGAATTTCAATATTTTACATTTTAATGCAGTTTATATTTCGCTGTTACCGAAATATAAATTTTAAATAACGTAATCAACGTAGGTAAAGATGTTTACTTGCAATTGCATTGCAAAACGTTATTAGAATAAAACTGCAGGAATCAATTTGAGCAGTCCTGTAAGAAACAAAACAATCTCGCTCGACAAATTTCAGTATGTAGAGGAGATCAGAGAAATATATGGACTATCTAGACTTTTAATGAGCCTGGAAATTAGGAAACTATTTAAAAAATTTTGAAAATAAGCCGACGTATTTGTCAGTCTCCTGATTATAAAAGCCTGTGATTCATTATTAAAAAAATATTTGACAAAAAAATTCAAAAACGCCCTTTCGAAAAAGGTAGGGATAAGATCGAAAGACTTGAATAATAATTAAAAAATATTGGTAACAAATACGTGAAAAGTTTCAAAAGTCTGCAAAAATGCCGGAACTACGAACGATGACCTAAAACTTATGGAATACGACGTGGAGTAACTGATATACAGTAAAAAAACTCCAAGACTCAGGGTACTCATCTTCATGAAAAACAGGAGGTGGTCCACATAACCCCACAAAATGAACGATATAGGCCCGAAAGGACAAGGCGTAATACGTGTATTGCCCATCCGTGAAATGGAGTTTTGTTTTGTTATTCCGGATTATGGAGAAGATGACTTTGTCAGCATCAGCACGACACGCAGCATTAAACTTGTCTTTCACAGAATTTCCACATTATTAACCCTCGTTGGTGCTCTTTCGTGCTATTTATGAAAAAGACGCATGAAAACTGTAATTTTACTTTTTTTCCAATGACCGTTTTATAGCTCATCAAAGCGTAACAATAATTCTATCTCGTAAATCCAGTCTTGTTTGTCCTCCGTAGAAGAAAATAATGTAAAATTAACAGTACAAATAATCAAAGTAACGGATTCTTGTAAAATATCAGAGTTTGCCAGCGAATAGTTTTCTCAGGCTCGAGTAAACCCTCCCCATTCAAAGAGTTGTTCATCGTAAAGTTGCAAATAAAAGGTATCCGATGATTTTTAGCGAGTTACATAATAATATTTGTCGTTTAAAGATTTCACAGTGAGAGGTAAAGACGATCTTAATTGTTGCCAAGAAGAGGCATCATTTTGTCATTTAGTTGAGAGAATGATAAAATTATGTACGGAATTGGAATGACTGTAGATGAAATAGAAGAGGGGGCGAAAAACACTTACCACGTACGTCGAACTAAAGCTGCAGTGTTTCAGGTGCATCGAATTCACGATAGCAGTAGATTATTTGTAAATCTAGTGTATATCCTTTGAAAGCGTGCGACAGTTCGCGGATATCAGACTTCTTCGAGCAAACCATCTTTCGACGAGATGCTGCATGTCTCTGAATAATTCATGCACCGGTGCAAAAGTGAACTACGACCGATCTGTAAGTGGGTAGCCAATCTTCCTACAGCGGAGTTGGAGCTGCGACAGCAAATTTCCCCGTCGTCTGTCTTTATCCTCTCACTCTCTGTTCACTTGCACTCGCCATACAAAGAAGCAGCCCAAGTCAGTTCGCGAGCATTAGCCGCGAGCCTAGCTCTGTACTTTGTTCGATTCACTTGCGCGCTGATTGGTTGCAAACGCACTGCGTGCCATGCTCGCGAGCCGAGGTGTAATAACCGTCGCTCTCTTATTGCTGCAGCGTCCACGCGAGTTGAACGCACTCTTCCTGCTTTTCTCAGCTCTCGACTCTCGGCTTACTTTGCTTCATCGTCATTGTTGCAAGTGATCGTTCAATTATATCTCTATAAACAGCTGCAAATCGACCGTTGCCCGAGTCTTTTAGAAGGCCAATGTCTAGTTTTTCTTGCAAAATTATTATAAAACTGGAAAATAATCTTACAAATGTACGTATTAACAAACTGACATTGGAGAGTTGATGCAAAGCATGCAAACGCAAACCAAGCTAACCGGAGCACAGACCGTTTGATCGGAAGCAGTGAAGCTGGCTGGATCGACCAAGTGGTTAGAGCACGCGAGATAAGTTGAGAGAGGTGCGAGCGAGCGCACGCGCTTGCGTTGAGGCTGACGCTGGACTGGCGGCGAGCGCAGGCACACTCACCTGCACTCACCTGCTCGGCAAGCTCTAAGGTGATTCGAAGGAAGAGAGAGGTAGAAAGGGTCGCGCGCGCGCGAACCGGCCCGGAGTCGAGCGCGAGCGCCAAGAAAACTTGTTCCTTCCGGGTCGCGCGAGTGCACGCGAAAGCGCGCGCCAGTAGTGCCCGTACATGCGCTCGCAGGAACAACGCACGGATGAGCTCCGGCAGCGCTGCCACCACGCCCGCGATCGCTTACGAGAACACCAGCATATCGCCGCTCTCCGCTACTTTTTTCCCTCGCTATCCCGCCCCATCAGTCGTGAAGCTTCGAGCTGAATCCTCGCGCTTCTTTCCGGCTTTGCAGATAAGCCAACGCCCGATCACATTCATTACCTACCGATTATCGCTTGCTTCTCCATACTTGATGCTTTCAACGCTGACACTGGACAATCGTAGATCCCTCGACTGCAGTTTGCCGAGGACAATTTTTTGGTCGCAAAGATTTTTTCTCACCAACAATCTAATCAAAGGATATTCAACAAAATTATAACGTATATTATTTGTGACGTAATATGTCTCGGTAGAATATCTAGTTTTTCATAATTTTATGACATCCTTCCTTTGCATGAATACCGTTGAAACATCTCTTCTCATGTTTCAAGGCTATTAAATAAAATGTCGGCACTCTTAAAAGTTTTCTAATATTTACCAATTATTTATTATATTTTATGTTGCATATTTTTCAACAATATCAACATAGAAAATATTCAATCAGTTTTCTTCGGAGAAAAAAATATAGTTAGAATTACTACACAGAATATAGTCAAAAATCATTCCAGCTCCATAAAATTTGTTTATTTTGTTATCTAGAATATGTATATTATCAGGTACTCCAAAAACGTTTGAATTAATGTATTATTAAACTCTACCAATACATAGTCTAATAGACTATTCCAATATACTTCATAACAATTGATTATAATGCGTCCTTTTCGTGAATTACATAAGAATGTTTGTGAAAAATAAGAGCTGTTGTAAGTTCAACTTTTAATAAATCTTGTACATTAATAAATTTACATGATCAAATAATTTATTATTCCTGAGCTTTTCGAGTTAATAGCATTATATTTAATAGTACCTTTCGGGAAAATAGGTCATTAAAATTTCGTTTTATTTTAATAATACATCTCATACCTACATTTAAAATTTTCTGTAAATTTATGTTCTTAAATAAATATTTAAACAATATTCATTATTTTAATAATATTATCAATTATACGGTACATGAGACTTTATTGCGAAATTTACATAATTTTGAAAATATATATATGTTCATCTATATTATAAGACATCCAAAGATATTAACGTTAATCCTTATACAATGCTTAAGTTTGAATCGTGATTTTAATATCTTTGTCACTAGTCAATCATTGAATATTTTATTTGAAATATTTAAGTTTTTTATGAAAATGAATTACCTTTTACAAGAAAATATATTATTCTTTTCTAAAAATAAAAACTTTAGAATTATAATGAATTTTTATCACTTCATTTATGGAACATATTCAAAAAATTAAAGAATACATTTGTTCTTTCAGAATTACCCTGCAATTTTATTGTTCCAATATAGAATTTTCATGCTATATACCAGATTTTCCGTAACTGATATGTTGTTGTTTCTCCATATAGTCAAATTCATGGTGATCTTTAACGCTCCATTGACCTCCATTGAGCATTTTTTGCATTTCTATGTAAATTTATATAAACATTTTTTATGTTTCTAGATTTTTTTTAAACAAAGTAACTATAGTCAACTTGAAACTTTTTCAAAACATCCAACATACATAAACAAAGAGCCGTAAAGAGCTCTTTTTTTATTTTACATTTTCTTGAAAATAAAGAAGGAAATTAAAACCGCATTTGCAGTTTTCATTTTTATTTTTTTTTGATTTCCAAGGCAACTGTTTAAGAAACGGCTCTTTACGGTTATTTGTTTATATACAATAGATGTTTGGAAAAGGTTATTCAAGTTGACTAATTCATTTGTTTAAGAAAAAATCTGGAGAAACTTCTTTTGCTTAGTAAGTAACACAAAAGAGCCTTAAGAATATTTAACTTTAAAAATACACATTTTACTAAAATTTGCAGAAATAAAAAAATTAATAGTATCCAGCTTCGAGAATGATTTTTTATTACGATCTTCTGTGTATTAAATTCAAGTTCAGTGTGAAAATAATAAGGATCTATAGATAGGATAATTATACAAATATTATAAATTTTCCCGATATAGGTATAAATGGAATCTCTATACTTAGCTTACGATAAGTCTGTAGCATATCATACAGTATAGCCGATAAGTAATAAAGTAGAAAACTGCATAACACAACCCATGCGTAGATAACATAGCGTGCTAGCCAGTACTGAAAATCCGATCACTTAATCAAAAAGTTATTTTTCTACAGTCGTAACGTTTATAAGTATGTTTCCAATCCATCGACTCAGCGATGAGCATTCGGTCACTCATCCCAAACTTCTTTTTCTCCTATTCATAACGCATCTAGGTCTGTTGTTATATACATTTGTGGCTGTTCTATTATTATACCGTGTCCGAATTCCGCGTTTTAAATTAGTTTTGTTTAAAAGGGGGAAGATAAGACAATTTTCAATTGTACAATATATAGCTATATTGAATACTTTTGAATATCATTTCTATATTTAATATTAATGAATCATTAATAACAATTAATAATTTTCAATATTTCTTTATCGAACACGTTATTTAATCTGATTGAATCAAGTAGGTATTAATATTTTCTAATAGTTTTGAATAAAAGGACTACTCAATCATATTTTATTTAACAGATTTTAGTAAATTTCTATGTATGTGAAAAGAATGAGCTGTTTCATCATAGAGTTTTCAATTATATTTTGTTGAGTACTCTTCTATAAGATTTAATGCGTTTTAATAGAACATTCTAATCTATCATACACTTAATACAATAGATATTAATTTGTTCGTACAGTTTCGAATTGATAATCTATTCAATTATCTTTGATTTAATAGATTTTAATAAATTTGAATACGTTTGACAAGAATTATTTATTTAACACTTTTAAATATTTTATAAATAGCTCATTTTTGTACTTTGACTCGCTTATCGTGCAAAATCATTTTGTTTTTATCATCAATCAACTTTTGGCGCATAATTCCTAGTACAACTTGGTTGCTCATAAATGCATAATTTTTTTTCCCGTGTTCCCGTACATAAGCTTAAATAATTGAAAAAAGTTGTTCATTTAAAGACATATATAAGTACTGCTTCCGTTTCTTTGTAGATATTTTTACCGTACCGACAATAGAATTCACAGCAAGTTCATAAAGGCCTGGTCTCGTTTCATGATCTACGCAAAGATTATTAGCGTTTTTATCCATTAAAGAGCAGCTACATAATGCTTCTAGTTTGAAAACTGCATCCATCAAAACTCGCGCCGAAAACAGGTGTCTTTAACATTTTTCAAATCTTAAGCATTGATGTACACGTAACAATTATTCGATAATTTGATAATCTGAAAAATATTTCTTTTATTTATAAAATCATCATGAATATTAAAAATGTTGATATTTACATATTTTGTTGAATCTTCTTCAAAATAATTCAAAGTCCAAAATCAATCACCAACATTAGCCTAAGTTTTAATTTTTTTTGCAGGCAGTCCAATACACTTACTTAATTCGTTTTCTACTTTTACTTTCTTAGATTCTATCATATTGGACTTCTTTATTAAACGTTCTTCAAGATTTGTCGGATAATATTAAATAGTTTTTTAAAATTTTACTTTCATTTTCATCAAAGCTATTCATCTCTGTGATAAAATTCAAAGGTATTTTAAAAGACTCGAACTGAGCGACCAAAAACCTTTCAGTATTACTACTCACATTACAGTGTACTCAATTACTCTGCCAAAATGAGTGACGTCGATGTTCTTAACATGAACACCGAAGACATGATGTTGCTGATACAGCAATTATTAGACAAAGTAGCCAAAGAATCAGGCCTTCAGAACCTAAATTTGACCACTCCAAAAGTCACCGCCCCTTCATCAGAAAAAGATCTGTCTTCCAAAACGCAACCGAAAGATTCGATCGCATTAACCAAAGAAGCAGACATCAAACCTGAAAAGAAGGAATTGCCAATTATAGCTTTAAAGAATATACTAATTTTAGAAAATTCATATTTCAGAAACGAAACCGCAATATGGCACCCATTACCATCCCGTGCCTACTTTAGCGCCTTATTTTACCTCCAAGGATTAAGAGCTGGACAATATGCCAAGCTTTACCTTCCCACAACCTCCGCTATCATTGACCAAATATTAAAGCAGACCATGTGTTGAGTTGAGCGGAAATATTTTTTTATCGAAATAAATATTCTTTTATTCCGCGAGCCGCACGTAAAATTAATGACGAACGGGCGAGATAGAGTATAAAATAAATAGAGCTGTGTTGACTTAAACTCTATTTAATTATAAAAGGAAAGTAAATACTTTAAGTGAAATATACAAGTGATTGTGACAAAGTATGAATAAGTATAAGAGAGCACAGCCAAGGCTGAGCTGTTGCTCTCTGAACGTTTTGCGAGAATCTGATTATAGTCAGACGTAACAGACGCGACGATATTTCGCAGGGTGTATACATTTTTTGAGAAATGAATTGTCATTGGATTAGGAGGTATGAGGCAAGGAAGTAGGAAGCTCGTGGGCGTTGACAAAATAAGATGCATTTTTGTGGAAAGGGTAGCGGTTAGTTTTGGAGAATAAAACTGCGTAGAGTCCCAAAGACCCTTTTTATATGAGGTTGTCATAAAATAATTAGAGCTCGAGGCGAGCACGGCGTAATAAAGCAATTGAGTGACATGCGTTGTACATGTATTTGGGCTTAGAATTTTCGAAATATTTTAAATGAGCTATTGAGTTTACAGTTTGCAAAAAAATTATATTACTTTTAAGATGAATGTGACTGATTTGAATTTTCGAAAGAGGGTTTTATGTTTTACAGGTCTCAACTCGTTTTGAGGACGAAACATGCTCCCGGCTTTGAACTCTCTGAGTTCAACGAATAAAATAAATTATAAGTTTGAATTAATACAGTGATGCCTTATAATAATATTGATTTGATATAATACATTACGATAAATGAACAATTTGAAACTTACGATATAATAAAAAAAAAAAAATTAAATTGAAATTCATCATTAAAGTTAATATGCATGAATCATATAAATAGTAGATCAAATTAAACGTAATTCAAGCAATGATTAAATACATATATATATATATATATAAATAATTCTAGTCTTCATCAATCGGCAAAGGTGTCAATTTTTTAACGCAACGCTTGTAATGTGCCACTGGCTGTCTTCACTGTTACGACTCGAATTATACCGTCGTCTCCGGGATGTACATCAATCACGCGACCAAGGCTCCATTGCATTGGCGGAAGATTATCTTCTTTTATTGTGACTAGCGTGTCAGTTTTGATTTGAGTGCCATTGCTAGTATGCCATTTGCTACGGGTGCGTATTTCGTTGAGGTACTCTTTGTGCCATCTTTTCCAAAAATGTTGCTTGATTTTTAGCGTTCGTTCCCACAATGTTATACGATTCGTGGGCTCATCTTCATAGTCGTATTCGGGTATAGTATCTAGAGTTTCTCTGACAAGGAAATGAGCAGGAGTAAGGGCAACAAAGTTATTTGGATTAGAGGAAATAGGAGTAAGAGGACGAGAATTCAATATTGCTTCGATTTCGATTATACATGTGTTGAACTGTTCTAATGTGAAAAGTATATTTCCTACTGTTCGATATAAGTGTCATTTGAAAGATTTTACTGCAGCTTCCCATAGCCGCCGAAATGCGGCGAACGCGGTGACGAAAAATGCCAAGTGATATCTCTCATTGCGAGTTTACGCGTAAATTCATTATTATTTTCTGCAGATAAAAGAAATGCTTTGATTTTTAAAATTTCATTTTTTGCACCTAAAAAACATGTAGCGTTATCAGAGTAAATATTTTTAGATTTACCGCGCCTTACAGAAAAACATCTTATTGCTTTCAAACAACATTCGGTAGTAAGCTCTGTTACAAGCTCAAGATGTGTGGCGCCTTTACCAGCCAGACAACTCGTGCCACCAGGAGGCAGCACTTCCCTGCCTCGTCGCCAACCGCGCAAGCAAGTGCTCGCACCGCGAGCGCCCAGCAAACAAAATGACGTCTAAAAGACGACTTTTAGATGTCTTTCCAAAGATTTAAGATGTCTTGTCAGACGTCAGAAATGACATCATTCCGACATCTGAGAGACATCTAATGTCCACCTAATTAGATGTCTTAGTGATGTCTGTCAAGATATCCTCGAGATATCTGTAAGACATTTTGTAAAGTCAACATAAAGACGTCTTATTATTACAGCTTTTAGAGGTATTCAAATATTTTAAAAAATAAACGTAAAAAATGTATTTTATAAGTTAGGTAATGAAAATTTTTATTAGATAGACACATTTTACTTCAGATACAGTTTTATCGCATCGTTCTTATTGAAATTTCAATACTATAGAACTATTTTTTCTCTTCAAAAATGTACATTATATGTTACAATCGCTTTATAATATTAAAACTAGTTAAGCTTTTATTCAAATATAGTTACACTTAAATTCAAACCCATTTTATATCGCATTTCGCTCTTAGAACAA